CTACTTTAAAATTTAACAACCCCACGGCGAGGGTGGGGAACAAGGATTTCTGGAAGCCAAGCTGCCGCAGGGTTTGGTGTGTTTTTTACGACTATTATCATAGCATTGGCCAAGACGCCAGCAACGCGATCATGTCACAAACATGCTGTAGAAAGCACGGGTTTAAATTTAGCACTGGACAAAACAAACTTAAAAACGGCAGTGCAGGGCAAAACGATCCGCAATTTTGTTTTTAGTGCATCGGTAGTCGCCACAGCTGATCCTTCTCTCGGTGCGCTTTGTGCGCATCCCATCTTGTCTCCTCCATGTTGTTTGCTATTTGGTAGCTGTCCGACGACACCAACCGAACTTCAGCACCAAGTGCAATGCTGATGCAGTTGCGGTTCAGGGCCATTCAGCGTGGTCTGAGGCTATTGGGCTGGTATTGGGTTCTCGGCTTCTGGGTGGTCCATCTTGCTGCGAAAAGACCAACATGTTTTGCTCCAGCAATGTTTTGGGTTGCTTGGTTAGATGCATTGTCCGTCGTTCAATCTGGGCACCTGCGCTTGGCGCACGCCCAGGTACGGCATTCGTCGGGCTACAAAAGTCCATGCTGATCCGGCCAGAAGGCTAAAAAATCACCGGGGAATGGATACACATGGGAATATGGCCGCGTGCCTCACCTGGCGCGACCTTGTGGATGGCCACACGTCGCATGGGGAAGAAATAGGTCAATGACAATTGGCCGAAAAAACGGGGAAATCTTCACGACTGCGGACTCTGCCGCCCCAATCACCACGCCCTGCTACGCTCCCAGCCTGGTCCCGCGCAGGGTCTTGTGGGCTACGCCCAAGGCTTGTTACAAGAGTTGTTAATATTGAGCCCGAGTTCTGGAATTACGTGGCGGTATATAAATCCCGGAAGGACGACAAGAATGTTTCATTGCGGTTGGGGAGGCTTTGAAAAATGGCTGCCGTGTCCGACGCTTCAAACAGGTCCTTGCTGCGCGGCAGATGCCCATGTTGAAGTTTGGTCTGAAATCAAATGAAAAGGGAGGAGATGACGAGAAGACTTCGTGTGACTTTGCGTGTGGGCGGTGTCGAGCTCGAGGGTGTGGAGGTCGACGGTCACCTCGTGCTGACGCCTGCCGACTTTGCAGCCGTTGGGGGTCAAGTAGTGGCCCTAGCAGAAGAGGCCGGTCCTGCCCCAGCGAGGCGCGACGTGTCACTGTCGGCCTCAAGCTGTAGTCCGTCCCGGGGCCGCAGCCTGGGCCGTGCACGAAGTGGGAGCCGCGGAGGTGGGAGTGGAAGTGGGAGCGGAAGTGGGCGCAGCTCCTCGCGCAGCCGCACACCCCGGCGCGTGCCGCCACCGCCGCCTGCGCCCCGCAGGCGCCGCGACAGAGCAGCTCCCACACGTGAGCAGGACAAGACACGCAAGCCCAAGCGCAGGCGCCGCGCCAGAGGCTGCCGCGCGGGGCTTGAGGTCCAGGACCGTCGGCCCGCCCCACGCCGCTCACCAGGCCCTGCTGAGTCGGCGCGCTCGCCTTTCGAGCCTGGTGCAGCTGCCGCGGCCTCACCCTTCAGCTCTGCAGCAAGCGCACCTCACCCCTTCACCAGCCCTGCAGTGAGCCCGTCTCCTTTCCGTCAGTTTTACAGCCCTGGTACTGTCGGGGCCTCGGTAGCGGGCCTCGTGTGCAGCGCGAACGGCACGCAGCAGCCACAGGTTTCCCGCTCGCCCTTCTTCCTCCAGCCGGTCCCTCGGACTCTTCCACCGTGGTGGCGCCCGGCCGCTGGCTTGCCGCCAAGGTCAAGGGCAAACTGAGGCGAAAGCCGTTGGGTAGGCACGTGATACCCACATTTCGCTTTTCGCATCACCGAAATTTCTGCACGTTGGGTTGACGTCCAGGCGCGCCCATTGAGGCAGTCGCTTGCGACTTCCCAGTCTCAGCTTCGGCATTTCTGTGTACTCCTGGCGCAATTTGTGCAGACCTCGCCGGTCAGTTCATTTGCATTCTACGTTGCCCGTACGCAGTGTTTTGTGGTCACGTCCAGGCGCGCCCTCTGAGGCAGTCGCTTGCAACTTCCTAGTTTGAGCCTCGGCATTCCGCCGCAATCCTTGGCGCGCCTTGCACGGCAGTCGCTTGTGAATTTCATTCTACTTTTGCATTTCCGGTACACCGTTTGTTGTGATCACCTCCAGGCGCGCCCCTTGAGGCAGTCGCTTGCAATTTCTCAGCCTGAGCCTTAGATTTCTGTCCATTCTTTTGTACGGCAGGCCTGTCAGCTCGCCCTTGCATTACCAGTGCATCAATTTGGGGCACAACGTCCAGGCGCGCCCTTTGAGGCAGTCGCTTGCGATTCCCTAGTCTGCGCCCCAGCATTTCAGTGCTTCTACTGGCGCGCCTTGTACGGCAGTCGCCCATCAGTTCAGCCTTAAATATTCAGTGCGTCATTTCGTGTGAGGAGGTTACGGTGACCTTCCCTCTGCGAGGCCCCAAGAATCTCGTCGCACCCAGCCTGGGCCTCAGCGTCGCATACAGCAACCCGCAAGAGACAGAAAGGCCTGGCACAGCCTTAGTCGGTGTCTGTCCTTTGCAGGGAAACACTGCGGCTTGCTTAGGTTACGTACAGGTCGTTTTTTGTTTAAACCCCTTCCTGCTCCAATCAAGCGTGTGCACCTCAGCGGGTTCCAGCTAGCTAGAGGTCAGGTGGACACTTTCGTCTGCATCGGCGGTCCTGTCAGGGCCCAGCCATTTCTTCATCACCGGCCCAGGACTCAGCATTAACCATTGCAAGCAGCAGGCGCGCCTGGAGCGGCTGTCGCCATACTGGTGCCTTTGTGGGGGGCATTTCGGTTCACCTAGGTTACGGGTTGCCTGATCGGGCCACTTTTGTTTTTACCAGACGTGTGGGCCTCAGTACGCTCCACATAGCCAACCGCAACTCCAGCAGTCTCGCGCAAGAGCACGTGCTACTGAGGCTACGCCGCAGGCGCCTCCTTGGCAGCCGCGGCTCAGCTGGGTGGATTTCTCCACTGCGCCCACACCTTGTTGGCCGGTTCCTTGGGTCCTGTAGCCACTCTAGGTTCCTACAGTAGCCACACTAGCTTCCCAGAATACGGCCTACGCGGGCTAGGCCGCAGGCGCCTGTTGGCAGCCGCGGCTCTGCCGGGTAGGCCTGGGATCGTGGGACCCTCAGTCCAGCAACAAACCAGTTAGTTCGGAAGGTTGACGCGTTTGCCATGTCTCCCTGGCCTTTGGTTAGTGGCAGCGACCTAGCTGGCTGACAGCAAAAGCGCCACCCAGAAGCAAAATAGGCACTATGTCCAGGCGTTCGCGTGCGGACTCGCCGCACCACCAAACACACAGCAATCGAGGCGGCCCTGGCCCTGAACAACACACGGGTTCCCCTGTGGCGGTTAGTTCTGCACCAAGTTCTCCGCGCGGGGACGCGACGCCTTTGGCGCCTGCACGCCTTGGCGATGACTGTTTCGTCTGTTTGGATGCCTTGGACCCCGCAGGGGAAGCTGAGCGAACCGTGGTGACCTTTCCAACATGCACGGCGCACAGTTTGCATCTGGGTTGCCTTGCCCAGCTCCGGTCACAAGCATCTGGCCCATCGGACCTGCTCTGCCCACTGTGCCGCCATAGCAGGTGCCGCCAGTGTAGCGCGGATGGCTGGACTGACCGGCAAGACGCGGCATTGCGCGAGGCATGCAATCGCCATGGCATCGGCATCCCAACGCGTATTTCCGGGCAGTCGACTGTGCAAGTAGCGGTGCAAGATTACACGCTGCAAACGTTCACCTCTTGCGACGCACCAGAGCCACGCCCACCTCCAGGCGTTGTGCTGTTGTGTTGTCCGCGGGTCGCCGCGGCGCGAGCCGCCGACGGAAGAGTCGAGTTCATACCCCTGCCCGACCGCAGCATGCAATGGGCGCCTGTGGCAATCCGGCATGGCGCAGGCATAGCAGCTTGGAGGCCCAGTTGGATGTGCGTAGCATGCGCGCAGTCCGAGGACCTCGCGGACCTCGACGTGCCTCCCGAAACGGGTGGGGAGTGTGAGCGTTGTGGCGGACGTACCGAGTGGGTACTTGATCGCAGCAATGGCCACAGTTGGCTGCAATGCCCCGGTCATTGCGCGCGGGTTGAGCCGCCAAACGACTCGGAAGCGAATGGCGCCCCGGCTGTGACACGCGAGTTTGCGCCGCCCGAGGCTGCACCCGTGTCTGCAGCAAGGGGGCCTGAAATACCCGCAGCGGCGGTCTCACACCAAGCCGCAGGTGCGGCTGGCGAGGCCGCAGAGGGTGCTCCGTGGCTCGCGCGAGGCCCGCCACCAGGGCCGGTACGGGCTGCCACCATGCAACTCCTGGCTGTACGTGCCACTGCTCCATGCCGCGGCTGGGGACCTGGCACCGGCGGCTGTTGCTGCATGGCAGGCGGAGCAGCGATCCAGTGGGTGGTGGGAGGAGGCACGACGTTTGCTCTTTGTGTCTGCGCCCATCGCCAGGGACGAGCTTGCCACGGCCCTCCGCCGAAGCGCTGAGGCTTCGCCCGCTGACCTGCGCCAGCTGCCGGAATTGCTACGCCGGCTGGAACAGGCGCAGCTGCCTGAGGTTGCGTCTGTGAAAGTCAAAGGTTGGGCTGTCCGTCAGCTGTGCGAGCGTGACGGATACATCCACGCGCTTGCCCAATCAGCCCTCCTCGAGTGCTATGCGGGCCTGCATGTGGCAGCCAGCTTGGATCGTCGCTCCGACGATTTTCGCCAGGCGCCTGCATCGGCCCCGCCCCAGCACGCATGCCCGCCAACGCGACGTCTCACAGTCACGTCTGATGACAGGGATGTCGAGCCGCCCAGCCCGGCCCAACCACGAGCAGGCGCCGACGAGAGCCGTGATGAGGCTGTTTCTGCCACAATCAATGAGGCGGGGGCGCAGCCGAACCGCGAACTCCCGGGCCGCAGCCCCGCAACCGCAGCTGCAGATGCTGCAGCGGGAGCTGCGCCGCGTGCCGACGCAACCGACAATGGGGAACAGGAAGAAACCCCTGTGCCACACGCACAAGCACCCGGAAATCCGTTCCCGCCGTTTGCTTGGGCTTGGCTGGATGATATCAGCCTTCATCACGAGTTCCAAGTGCGGCTCCCAACGCTGCAGTCAGTCCCCCGCTTCCTGACGCCTGGCGTGAGGCGCGCGTTCCTTGCCGCCCTCACTGCCATCGCTGATGCACGGAGTCCGTCAGGCTGCTTGCGCGCGTGGAAGCTGTTCCTGCTGCTGCCGCGGCTCCTTCTCACGCGAAGCGACGCCATTGGCGCGCAAGGACGCGCAGAGCTGTTGCACCGGCTCGAGCTCTTTTGGCGAGGAAGCTGGGCCGAGCTACACAGGCTGAGCCGTCGAGCCGCCGAACGGCAAGGGCGTCCACAACCCGAACGGCTCGGCGACACCAGCGAGGCCCGTGCGGCCCGCGCTTGCACGCTCGTGAAGCGGGGCGAACTTTCCCGGGCACGCCAAGTGTTGACGGCCGCCGCTCTCGCGCCAGGCGACGCAACCACATTGCAGGCGCTCACAGACCCAGATCGCCGACCAACGGCAAGATTGCGTGACGTCCCCAATGAGGTGCTTTCGTACAGCCCAGACGAAGCCGTTGCCGTGACGGTTGGCCAGGTCGCGGAAGCCCTGCGCAGTTCCAAACGAGGGAGTGCCGCAGGCCTTTCCGGCGCCACGCTTGAAATGTACAAGCTTCTCCTGGATGACGAGGTCGCCATCGACCTCTTTACCGGCGCCGTCAACCGCCTTGCGCGAGCAGACGTTCCGCACGAGGTAGCCGAGGCCCTCGCTGTGTCCCGTCTTACGGCGCTCCGTAAACCACACAGCGGAGTCAGGGGCATAGCGACAGGAGATGTCTTCCGGCGCTAGGTGTCCCGGGTGCTGGCGCGGGTCTACGCTGACGTTTTCGATGCCGCCACACGCCCTTACCAGTTCGCGCTGCAGACGCGGGCCGGTACCGACTGCCTGGCCGGCATGTTGAGGGCAGCGGTTGAATTAGACCCCACCGCCACGGTTGTGTCTCTTGATGGACGCAGCGCGTATGATTGCATCAGTCGCGCAGCCGTGCTTAGCAAGCTCCAGCAAGTGGCGCCGTCTGTGCTGCCTTTCGCTCGGATGCTGTACGCGCGCGAGAGTACACTGCTGGGACGACACAGGGCGCGTGCACCACGTCCGACAGGCTGAAGGGGTCGAACAGGGCGACCCTTTGGCCCCAGCACTTTTCGCCCTTGGCCAGCACGATTCACTCGCCGCAGCCCACGCCCGCCTCCAGCCCGGAGAGGTTTTGGCAGCATTCCTTGACGACTTGTGCGTCGTAACCTGCCCTGCACGAGCCCGTGAGGCCTGCGACATCGTGTCAGGGGAGGTTGAGCAGGGTGCCGGCGTTTCCGCAAACCTCGGCAAAACCCGGGTCTTTCACGCGGCCGGAGGAGCAGCGCCACCGGGAATCGTCGATCTCGGGGCGGAGGTGTGGCGCGGCGACAAGCCGCCTGCCGAGCACGGGTTTGTCGCGCTGGGCGTCCCAATCGGACACAAGGACTTCGTCCGGGCGCAGGCGGAGGAACGCCTCCAGGCAGAAGCCGAGCTCCTGCGAGGGTTGGTGGCGCTCCCCGACCTCCAATGTGCCTGGTTGCTTCTGTTGTTTTGTGCAGCGCCGCGCGCCCAGCACCTCCTACGCAACGTCTCCCCAGCGCTCATCGCAGGCTATGCGCGAGCTCACGATGACGCGATCTGGCAGACGCTAGTCCAGCTTCTGGGCGGCCGAGGCCACGTCCAGGATGCCGATTGGGAGCATGCGCGCACGGTCGCCATGTTGCCAGCCTCGCTAGGTGGCCTAGGTCTGCTCGCCGCGGAGCGCATTGCGCCGGCAGCCTACTGGGCGTCCTGGGCTGATGCGCTCCCAGTGCTCCAGCAGCGCCGGCCGGATGCGGCGGCGCGATGCGTACAGGAACTTGAGGCCGGAGCAGTGGGGGCGGCGCCTTGCTTGCGGGCGGCCGCGGCCGCAGGGCAACGACTGGACCGCGAAGGCTGGGAAGAGCGGCCTACGTGGAGAGGCCTCGTTGGCGGCCAAAGCCCGCCATCCGATGGCAACGAACCCGGTCTGGGTGTGTCAGGCTGGCAGAGACATGCTGCTCTCGCACTTCACACTACCTTTCGAGAGCAGGTGGTTCTGCCGACTGCCAACCCCAGCGCCCGGGCGATGTTGCGATCCCAGTCCGGCCCGCACGCCGGCGCGTGGCTTTCTGCCATACCCGCGGATGCCGCGGCCACCCTTGCGCTTGACCTCATGCATCTCGCTCTGCGGCGCCGTTTGCGCCTCCCGCTCCCCATCACGCGAGCACGCTGTGGTGGGGATGGCCAGCATGGCTGCCGCGGAGTTGTCGATGCGCTGGGCGACCACTCCACGTCCTGCCCTCGTACAGGCTTGCTGGCGCGGCGAGGCTTTGTGCTTGAGCGGGCATGGGTCCAAGTGGCACGCGAAGCAGTCGGGCCAGAAGGCCGAGTGGTTCCTCAACAATGGCTTGCCAACACCACAGCACCCGGTGTGGCGCCGGAGGACC